TATGGTTGTAACACGAATGGGTCGGCTCGATCGGTGAAGGACCACGCTCTCACAGAATACCAGCGTAAAATAGTAGCTTAATGCTGTTGTGAATCGTATGGTGAGTGTAAATATCCGAAGACCCTTTTTAATCTATAGGAAGCATTTCATCCTGTTCCCAGGGATGACAACGCATTTGCATTTTGATTCTGTGGTAATAGATATCGATGGGACAGATCTAGACTACTTACCATCAGATGGACTTAACTTAAAAATAACATTTACTAATGACTGATTTTTCAATAAACATGCAAAAATTATTCATAAAATAAAATACAATATAAAGAAATTAAAAATTACAGTTATGAACGAGTTATAAGCTCAATTGTATTTGAGTGTTGATTTTTTTCTCCCTGAAAGACTGAGTATTCAGTGAGAAAACTCAGCCAGCGTTAGAACTTACTGTATGGTAATTCTAGTTTTAGTTCTTTTTACAATCGTTTTTGAACAATAATAATAATAATAATCTGGAGGACTCCAGATCGAATTTTGGTCACGGCGGCCAGCCTCAACGGAGACTAGCCATCGGCGCACGACAGGATTATAGTGCCCAAGTGTATGCGCAAGCACAGGTGCACTCTCTATTCCCTCACTCTCATAATCCGATGGGACGGTAAACCGACACGGCCGGAGAGAGATCAGGCGCAGGACCAACGTCTTTACGTGCTTTCCGAGGCACGGGGGTGAGACACCGCCAACTTCCTGACTCCGGGCAGCTATACTGAGAATTTCTTGACAGAAAAAACCAATAATTGATTTTTTGGCCCGACCCGGGATTCGAACCCAGGACCTCATGATCAGCAGTCGCACTACTACAACCACTAGACCAACAAGGCAGTCAACGAGGCGTTTTTGAATACTATATATATTTCAATATTATGTAAATAAAAAAAACAACTATATCATATTTAAAAAGCGCTCCGTGTTATCCACGCTTTGTTTATCTACATGAATGGGTGCGTTTGGTAGAAAAAGCGCTAGCAAGCGCTTGTAAGCAAAATGGCAATCGTAAGCTAACGCTGTCAAGTCGTAAGTAGCTATTTTCCTCCAGGATAAATTTATTAACCGGGGAACCTAACCTAATTTAAATATATGCTTGAAAAGTATTCATATTAAAAACCTACCAATGAATTTTTAATAACATGTATATGTTTATTCATGTCATTATACTACTTAAAACTAATATTGCACAAAACAACTTATAAACTTTACTTCAAAACAAACAAATTAAATAAGCAAAATGGCGGATTGTGTCAGCGCTACTGAAGTAGCAATCGTGTCCTGACCGAAAACTATTTCAGCGCTTATAAGCGCTTGCTAGCGCTCTTTTCTGCCAAACGCACCCAATATGTTCTAAATTTAATAAATCATGCATCCAACCATTACAGTCTTCCAAAGTCCACTGCTGAAACATAGGCCTCCCTATTGGTTGCCTCATAAATAATAGGCGTGTCTTTTAGATCTGTCGTATCTTACATCACCCACGCGATGATGATACGATTTTTTTAATACCAGATAATAAATACGCAGACCGGTGGAGGAGAGCGTCAAAGAAGCGAAACGAATTGTACGGCGAATGCGCACTCGCTTGACAAGCGTTGGGATTATACAATAAACCTATAAATGTAAAGGGCTTAATATGTTTAGCAGTATACTGTTTTTAGGCTGAAGAAAAATAAAAAGATTGTAAAAGTGTCATCTAGTCTATTATTTTTGTCAGAGCGGACATGAAATTCAATAAAAATTCATTAATATAAAATATATTTTATGGGTCTTCTAAGTGACAGTCACTATAAGAAGACAGTTGAACAGAAATTATTGAAAACAGGCCGCAATACAATGTTGCATTATCCGAAGTAAAACCTCAAGAAAAACTTAAGCGGTCCTTATAAGTAACTTGCCTTAATGTTCGCATAATTGATGACTTAATTGTATTGATTTATATCCGTACACAATGGTATATACAGTACTTAATATTTTAGACTTAAATTCGCATCTTGTACGGAGCGTGAAATTATTGAAGCAGGGATGCTTAGAAGCGGTTCGCTAGTAAGTATGTAAGGAACTATATTGCTGCTTAGTAAGATTCTATATACTCGTAGACTTAAATTCGCATCTTGTACGGAGCGTGAAATTATTGAAGCAGGGATGCTTAGAAGCGGTTCGCTAGTAAGTATATAAGGAACTATATTGCTGCTTAGTAAGATTCTATATACTCGTAGAATATTGAAAAAAAGGTCGTAGGAACTTTCACAGTCTGACGGTATACACTCTCTCAAGTCCCACTGTACTGGTCCTCTCTCAACATATCCAATGTTGTTTCTTGATTCTCTTACGCCAACTCACAACGCTACGACTAATTATTATCATTGCAGTTCTGATTGCTAATTTATTACAATTCGTCACATGAAATTCGTAGTGGGTGCGGTTAGAGGGTTTGTTAAATAAATGCTTGTCCAGAATTTTTTTTATACCGCTACCTTGTACCTGTGTTACTGCCACAGAAGAAATAAATGCGGAGATATCGTTTTAAATTTGAAAGCGTTATATTGCTTAATTAGGAATGATAATACGTTCATTGAAGTTGAATGACATATAAATTTCAAATTTTGTCCTACTGTAATTGTAAGTTAATTGTACTATGTATATAACCTGCGTGCAAGCAATAAGTTGACAGTTTAAAAAAGCGACAATACCCTAATGGCAGGGAGCGGACCGCGATCTCAAAAAGGTCGTGGGTTCGAATCAATTCTTACGATCAATTCTCACGAGTGGTTAAGGGGAATATACGAACAAACCAACTATTAATTTTTAGATATAAGATAAAATAATATTAATAACAATAAAAAATCTTATTATGTAAAATGAATAAAATTATCTTTGGTCTCTTGCAGCGCGTGAGTTGGTAGCCTCTGTTCTAAAGCATTATTAAGAGGAAGATAAACGACTTCCAACCCGATATCCACCTTCATTAATGGCGTATAGGTATTATTTTTAATCACCGCTCGTATGTAACGAGTTGACAGTGGAATAATTTATATGTACTTTAGGTTACGGTTATCTTTGGCGGAATTTCGACGTTTTGATTTATAATAAGCGACGTTGGGAAATAAAGACGGGCGTTTGCTCTGCGAGAAATATGTGGGGTATCTTTAATAAGAATTACAAAACTACAATTTGGAGTACCTAAATGTGGGAGCTCAGCACGGACTTGTAATAATTGAGCTCAGTTAAAAAACGTTAAAGTTAAAGTTACAGTCTATATACGTCCCACTGCTGGGCATAGGCCTCGTCTCATTTCTGAGAGGGTTTTAGCTCAATTAATAAATATAAACTGCATTGACAATACTCACAGACTACACGTCAAATTTAAGATATGTTTATATAAAATGTATTCAATATTTACTAAAAAAATATCGGTCGGCGCAAGAAATCCATCTCAGAAAATAAGAGCGCACATGAGACGTGAGCTGTTGCACGTGAGAGTGTAGCTCGCAAGGCAGTAACGGGAAAAAGAACTTTATTTGTTATAACTTAAGGTTGATTTCACACTAAATGTTATTTAATTTATGTCTTTTCATAGTTCATATTCATGCGGACAGTATTTAGCTATGATTTTGTACGTGACCCGATATCTAGTTGGTATTATTGATCGTAGTATAGTCCTACTCCCCGCGTTATATAGATAATAATATGTATAATAAGGCGTTGGTGAACTTTGCAAGTTTTCGAATATTTATTTTTAATTTTTCAGGTATGCAAGTTTCCTCTCAATGTTTTTCTTCATCGCCAAGCACATAGTATCAATAAACACTTATAACTGCAGTTAACAAGTTTGTTGGTACCGGTGGAGATCGAACCCGGGTTGCTCGAGTTCTACTATATTTACGACGAGCGCTGAGCACCTGTACTACGAGTAGCACGACAATTTTAGTGTAATAAGTTTTAAGTATTTTAATCGAAAATTAATTAAAGGCAAAATCTAATAGATTTTGTAAAAAAAAGCTACTTAAATTAATGTGACAAAATAAGAAATTCGTTAAATGGAGTAATAAAGTGAAGAAAGTTACATAATATTGTTACGCGTCATAGTTAATGCCTGGTACATGGCGAGTTACCGTTAGCGCAATCTGGTATCCAGTAGCAGAACTAGGACCGTCAAGATCTTTCTATAAAATTCCATACTAGAACTTTCTACACTTAGTCAGTCGGGATCGGTATGTACCCGAACATTCTAGATGTTTTAGTAGAAGAGGCGCTATATGAGGCCGGTCAGGACCGTGATCGAGTCTATATTGAATTGGTGATACAAGCGAATACTTCGAAGCGATATAACTGCGAACTAAAGTGATCAGTAGTAAAATTGTGTTTTATTACTAGTCTGTTTTAAGTTGTAATTGGTGTTTGGTAATTAAAGTGTCAATTTTGGTAATTCAATCGACAGTTTTTACTGTCACGAATCCCAAGCTCGTAACAATATAGTTCATGCAGTACCGGGTCACTTTTGTGTTATATTTTTACAGAATTAACACTAGACGTCATGATTTGATTTCGAGATAGATTAACATGTACCTAATATTTATGCACGTTAATAATTAAATAGGTTATCTATATTACTAAGTATTATTACTTAGTTCACAATTGTGCACTTAAGTTACAATTAGATAATTAAGAAAAAAGCGTAAACTGTATTTAATTTTCATTGTGTGTTTGAAACTGATATGATATCGCTTGGTACTATTAATTATTCTATTGTAGTTCTGTGAAGGTATACTATATCGGTTAATTCACCTCATATAACACGTTAAATATATTAAAAATATAGTTGAATTGATAACCTCCTTCTTTAATAAGTCACTTAAGATAAAATCCTATATATTTTTTAAAATTTTAATTATAAATATGTATGTGTAAATTTGAAATTAGAGAAGTGTAAATTTGAAATTACTAGTCAACTTTACCTTAATTTGAGAGAGCACGATCCGATCCTTAACGCTGCTTCGAGCACTGTTACAGCCGCCTGGTACTGTCCGGCTGCTAGTAGTTCTTGCCCAACGACCTGCAGGTAAACATTTTTTTAAAACAAGGATAAAATTAAAAACTAAAAACCAACGATGACTAAAAATGTGATTTTATTTTTTTTATACATTTTTATTAAAATAATTTTGGATTTCGGAATCATTGGAAATACACAATATATAAATATATCAGTTAAACATTTGTAGAAGGGCGTTTTAATCTTATTAATTTGTTTTCTTTTCCTCGTCATTAAATTATTTACTTATTTATTTAAATAAATATAATATTTATTTTATTTATTTATTTAATATTAGGGATAACAACATAAAAAAATGTATACAAAGTTACATATAGAAACTAATATAGGCAATTAAAGTTATCCACAATTTACCTAAGTACATCTGAGCAGATAAGATGAGAGTGATACAGTTTAATAATAATGATCATTACTTTCACAAACTATTATGTTGGGTTACAAACTTAAATTATAAATATGTGAAAAATGTTAAATGAAATAAACAATAAAAGTAAAAAAAGGCTATATTATATAATATTTTTGATATTATTTCGTTAATTAGAGAAGTGGATAATTACTTTGATTAGAATAAATATACAACTTTTGGTAATTTCAAATGTTTCGATAGTTTTAAGCGAATTCACAAATTAAAAATAGCACATGATGTTATGAATTTTACTTTACGTTTATTTAAATAAGACATTAAAAGTTTAATAAAGTGCAATGTTAAAGCGATTTTTTTTAAATAAATTTATTACATATATGAAAGGATATATAAAATTAATAGACAAATAAACGTATATTGGTGGACCTCGGACAGAGTAGTATGTTTGATTGATATTGAGTTTATTAAATTGCGCGAGAACCTAGGATACCGAATTGAACCGAAGTTATATCCAGTTTAATTCAGTAAATTCTTGGCTATTTTACGCATATATTCGATAAACGGGTCAAGATTATAAATATCCCTTTTTCAAGTTCGCGTCGTTCGAGACATCACTGAATTATTCCCATTCATCGTTTATACTATACAAATATGACATCGTTATTAACATTATCCGTGCATTGATCCGTGGTAGCTCAGATGGTTGACGCTCGCTGTAAATATAACAGATCGCGAGTAAACCGGGTTCGATCCTCGCCGGCACCAATTAAATCGTTAATTGCAATTTTAAGTGCTGATTTACCACGTGCTCGGCGATGAAGGAAAACATCGCGAGGAGGGAATAAGAAAAAAAATTATTTCGAATATATGTGAAGTTCACCAACACGCATTGGGGCAGCGCGGCGGACATTCCTTGCCCTAAAACCCTCTCAGAAATGAGGGGAGGCTTGTGCCCAGTATTGGGACGTATATAGGCTGTAACTTTACTTTTTTTGCTAACATTAAACACTATCAGTGTCCACTATCGAATATAGGCCTCCCCAGCGATTGCCTCATAGGGCCACATTTGCCACGCCTCTCAGACGGGTCGGCAACCATAGTTTTTCCATTTCCTAGTTATTATTAGGAATACTCTGCTGCCCATCTCGAGGTTTGTTTCCTTCTGTCATATCTTATGACAGAAGGAAACAATTATCAGGTTTACGCACCAACCTCGGCACATCCCGATGAGGAGGTGGAGGAAATGTATGAGGATATTTCCAGAGACATACATTCCTCCAAAACCCACTACACGGTGTTGATGGGAGACTTCAACGCAAAACTAGGCACAAGAGAAAGCGGTGAGCTGAAGGTAGGGAAATTTGGAGTAGGGCAACGGAACCGAAGGGGCCAGCAGCTGGCCGACTTTATGGAGAAAGAGGGACTCTTTATGATGAACTCTTTCTTCCAGAAGCGGCCCCACAGGAAGTGGACCTGGTCGAACCCCGACGGTTCGACAAAAAATGAGATTGACTTCATTATGACGACCAGACGCCAACTGCTCAGTGATGTCTCAGTGATCGCAAGGGTGAAAACTGGCAGCGATCACCGAATGGTTAGAGGCACACTGAACCTAAACGTTAAGTTGGAGAGGTCTCGTCTAATGAAGTCAACGCTCCGTCCCCCTCGTGCTCTAATCCAGAATCCCGAAACCTTTCAGCTCGAGTTACGTAACCGCTTCCAGTGCCTAGAAGATTGCAATGCAGTGGACGATATGAACGACAAGCTCGTGGAAACTGTCCATGCGGTCGGAGCTAAGTTCTGCAAGACCCGCCGCAGAAGAACACAAAAACTCTCCGATCACACTCTTAATCTCATGGCTGTTAGAAGGGAGATGAGGCTGCAATCGTCAACAGATTTGACAGCATACAGGCAACTGAACAGACAGATCTCCAAATGCATGCGGCGAGACTTACGCAACTTTAATACTTCTCGTATTAAAGAAGCGATCGAGCGGAACCAGGGCTCCAAAGTCTTTGCCAGAGATCTGTCTGCCAGAAAGAGCCAACTGTCAAAGCTGAAGACTGAGTGTGGCAACATCGTTTCCGGGACACCTGAGATTTTGAGTGAGATTGAAAGGTTCTATGGGCAGCTGTACACATCATCGTTGGAGCCACACGTAAGTGTGAGTAACGATCCAAGAGCAAGTCTTATCCGACACTATTCCGATGATATCCCGGACGTCAGTCTGAGCGAGATTAGAATGGCTCTCCACCACCTTAAAAACGGCAAGGCCCCGGGCGAGGATGGAATTACAGCGGAGCTTCTGAAAGCGGGTGGAAAACCGGTACTTGAAGTCCTTCGGAAGCTCTTCAATTCCGTCCTCCATGGTGGCACTACTCCGGAGGCGTGGAGCAGAAGCGCGGTGGTTTTGTTCTTTAAGAAAGGTGACAACGCTCTCTTGAAGAACTACAGACCGATTTCCCTTCTGAGCCGCGTCTACATGCTATTTTCGAGAGATATTACGAATCGTCTCGCACGCAGACTCGACGACTTCCAGCCTCCCGAACAAGCCGGTTTCCGAAAAGGCTTCAGTACCATAGACCACATACATACCCTGCGGCAGATTGTACAGAAGACCGAAGAGTACAATCTGCCACTTTGCCTGGCATATGTGGACTATGAGAAAGCCTTTGATTCCGTCGAAATTTGGGCGGTGCTACAGTCCCTTCAGCGGTGCCAAGTTGACTGTCGGTACATCGAAGTGCTGAAATGTTTGTACAGTAGGGCTACGATGGCTATCCGAGTACAGAACCAGAGTTCGAAACCTATCCAACTGCAGAGAGGTGTAAGACAGGGTGATGTTATATCCCCGAAACTCTTCACCGCTGCGTTGGAAGACGTTTTCAAGCTACTGGACTGGAAAGGATACGGTATTAACATCAATGGCGAGTACATCACTCACCTTCGATTTGCCGACGATATAGTCATTATGGCAGAATCGCTGGAGGACTTAAGCATTATGCTCAATGACCTCAATAGTGCCTCCCAACGGATAGGTCTTAAGATGAACATGGACAAAACAAAGATCATGTTTAATGTCCATGTCACACCTATGCCGGTAGTTGTTGGGAGCACTATGCTCGAAGTTGTTGACGAGTACGTTTACCTGGGACAAATAGTCCGACTAGGTAAGTCCAACTTCGACCGAGAGGTCAATCGACGGATTCAACTCGGCTGGGCAGCGTTCGGGAAATTACGACATATCTTTTCGTCAGGTATACCTCAATCTCTAAAAACTAGATTGTACAACCAGTGCGTGTTGCCAGTGATGACTTACGGATCTGAGACGTGGTCCTTCACTGCTGGCCGTATGAGGACGCTTAAGGTCGCTCAGCGAGCTATGGAGAGGGCTATGCTTGGAGTTTCTCTGCGTGATAGACTCAGAAATGAGGATATCCGCAGTAAAACCAGAGTGATCGACATAGCCCAACGGATTAGTAAACTGAAGTGGCAATGGGCCGGCCATATAGCTCGAAGAACCGATAACCGATGGGGAAGAAAGGTTCTCGAGTGGCAGCCTCGTACCGGTAGGCGTAGTGTAGGGCGACCCCCCACTAGATGGAGTGACGACCTGGTAAGACATGCAGGAAGTCGATGGATGCAGGTGGCTCAGGACCGTGCTTTGTGGCATTACTTGGGGGAGACCTATGTTCAGCAGTGGACTTGTGAAGGGCTGTAATGATGATGATGATATTGTCATATCTTATAACAGCCACGGGACGATATGGGGTAGTTGATATACGTACATCACCACTACGCGGTATTACTTATGGTTAGGTATATATAAAAATCTAGCTCAAACAAGCTAAAAAGTAAAAAAATTGTTGGAGCGTACTGGTAGAACTGACAGTCGTTTTATATTAAAATAATGTTCTTCAGGAATACACATGTTACTTATATGAGTTCTAATGCCGAAATTAATTATTACTCGTAATACCCAGCAATGTTAACATTTTTATACTATAAAGTAAATTTTTAGTAAATCAGTGAATACATTAGAAAAATAAAAAATGTTCACTACCGACTTCAATATAAATAATGAGAACATCATTATATTTGAAGTAAAATACGCATTATTAAGATTAACTCAAAAACTGCGGGTCAGATCTTAATCAAATTTATATGGGAGCACATGAGAACCTACTTTGAAATATCAAAATCTGTTCACCTAGAAAACAGTTCTGAGGTAGCAGACATAAAAAAACAGTCGAATTAAGAACCTCCTTCTTTTTTGAAGTCGGTTGAAAATACATTTGTTATACTAATTGCAAATTAGATAAGCAGTAATTTGTCAGGACTTGTTATTTAAGATCAATAAACGCACGATTTCATCCAATTAAAATACACTGAGATAAGAAAAATTTATAAAGCCAGTTTTCTTTTCGCGATTGTAACGAATTAAAATATTTTAATGAGTTTCAAAAGTATTTAAATTTTTTTTTGGTAAAATTTAAATGAAAAACGTACTAACAGTACACCTGATGGTATGTGGCTACTGCGTTTAACTGTGTTTAACGTTTGTAAAAAGTTAGCCAGTACTAATTACGCTTTATTTAAGCTTAAGTCAATTATTGACAGAAAAACTCTTATATCCGTCTATTTTGCATATTGTCACTCAATTATTAGCTACGCGATTACGATATGGGGATATGCTCCACAAATTGAAAGAGTACTGATTTGTCAAAATTGGTCGATTAGAATTATACATGAGTTGCAAAGATTGACATCAGCTAGAGCCTATTTCCAAAAAACGAAAATCATGAATGTCGTGTCGTTATATATTTATAGATCGCTTCTAGAAGTGAATCAGGAAAAAAGTGAACTACCAATGAAGAAGCACGTACACAACTACAATTCAAGAAATCGCGAAAGATTAGTTGTTCCAAGAACCAGATTAGTCAAAGTGTTCAAGCAAGGTTTTGCAATAAAAATTAAAATGTACAATAAATTGCCACTAGAAATAACAAGAGTTCCACTAAATCCGTTTCGACAAGTGATAAAAAGTTAAAAACATTCTTTTTGAATCACGCTTTTTACAATATAGAAGAATATATGCAATGTTCATTTTCTGACTTGCTTGACATATAAAATAATGTAATGTAAATGAGATGTATTTTAATTTGTAATTTTAATTTTATTATTGTAATTGTATAAGTTGTAATTTTAATTATTTTATTGTATTTATATAATTGTATTGTTGTTTTGACGTATGTACCAATGTTACGTAATGTAACGTAACGGCAAATAAATAAATAAATAAAAAAGACTGCAGTCCACGAACACGTACAGCCAACTCAAAGAAAGTAGCTACATTTTTTACGTCGTCACCTCTGAAGACTAAGATGGAACACCTCACAGCCTGTAATGATACTAGCTCTCTATACCATTCAGATTGGAACACAGCGGTACTCACACTGTTTATATGTAGAAATAAGTATGGGAGGGCTACCTATCAAACCGGACCTTAGGAAATGTTAGTTGATCTGTGTGAGAGTGCCAAAGTAATAAATTATATACCTCACTACATCTTATAAGGAAATAGCTACTATGGTATAGAAATCGTAATGAATAATGTTAATGAATCGGTGATATGCCATCCTCGGTGTGATGGTAACATACGTGGTTGAGCCAGGCTGCAGCTATATTATGGTTGTAGCACGAATGGGTCGGCTCTACCGGGGAAGGACCACGCTCCTACAGAAAACCAGCGTAAAATAGCAGCTTAATACTGCAGAGTACGAGACACCCTTTTTACTGGAAACGAGGCATTCCATTTTAGTTGACAACGCATCTGCGTTTTGATTCGTAATGGAGGATAAATGTAGATGTCTTTGGGCCACAGCATTCACTTACCATCGGGTGGACTGTGTGCTCGTTTGTCACCCTTATTCTATGAAAAAAATCTGTACCGTGGATGTCTTCAGAGTAAGGAAGAGTCAGAAAACTTCAATAACATCTTTTTGAATTTTGTCGCATTGGAACTTTCTCAAGTCTACAGTACAGTAGAAGAGAATTTGAATTATAAAAAAAACCAGAAAAAAATCATTTTCATGACAATATATCATTAATATTATTACAGCCTACCAAAATTCCACTGCTGAACATAAGATTCCCACATACATTGCTTCGTAGTGAATATTTGCATTCGCTGTCACGCTTTGCAAGCGAGTTGGCAACTGCAACTCTTTACGGGATAACGTGGGGTAGTAGCTTCTCTTAAACCGCCATCACATGACGACAAAGCAATAAACAGATTATTAACTTACTGAAACTTTCGATTGGAGCTATATTAGCATATAAGTAAAAAAAGAAAATTTATCGTATATAAACCGTCATTCTGCCGGGCAAAGGCATTACTAAGAGGATTTTAGGGCAAGGAAAAGTCCGCCACGCTGTCCCAATGTATTGGCACACTTCACATGCTCTCAAAATGTTATATGAATTCCTAAGCATCCAGATTTCTTCAAAATATACTTCAATGTCAATATGATGTTAAAAATCGTAATTTAATTCAGTTATAGTTCTTGTTTATGCCATTAAAGGCCATTTTGTTTGTCTACGACGCCATTTTGACCGTTCCTGTCTACACCACCGATCAACTGTCGTGCAGATTGTATGTAAATGCGAGGGTCGACCGCGTATTTATGGCTCTTTGATCACTCAGTCCCATTGTCCAAACAGTTAATGCCGCCAAAAAAATGCCCAGACATCGTACCGGACAGCACGGCGTCGGTATGTATGCAAATTCACCTCGGCCTGTGTATGCAGTTCTTAATGTTGTTAGTTGGAGCTTGCATACTGAGATATTCGATTATCATTTATGGTTCGCTCTCATTGATTTATTTTTATTACATTGTGTCAAAACACTTGTTGGCTGAGTTTGAATAAAAAAATAGCTCTTTGTTATTTGCACACCGTGTGCAGTTTGGTCAAACTTGAGAGATAGGATAGTTTTTTTGCCCATGAGTGACCCACAATTTTTTTGTGCGAATTTAAGGACAAAGGTCGCCGAAAAGGGCAGAACAACGTCTGCCTGGCCAGCTAGTTTATTATAATAGTCTGTTTAGCATAAACATCTATCAAGTATTGACGAGTGAGTAATTTAATATCTGCGCATACACTTGCTGTACTATTATATCTAGTATATAACTATATATAACTTTCATTACACCGTAGGTGGTGTAAATATCCACTATCTCATATCGTCCCGTCCTTCGTAAGAAGCGACAAAGGGAAACAAACCAGGAAGTGAGCATCAGCGTCTTCTTAATAATAGAAAATAAATAACCCGTCTGCCAAGCTTGGCATCTATAGCAAATATATGAGGCAATCTATGGAGAGGACTATGTTCACTGCGAACACTTCTATGGGAACTTTTGATAAGCTGTAAGTATGATGATTTTTCCGCTAAGATAAAAAATTAAGAACGACATTGCACAGTATGGTAGCATCGTAATAAATTCATTTACTCCATTTCGTATCGTGATTTTCGTAAGAGGGACTATAGGAAATACCAGAAAAAAACTAATAGTTTACGATAGATGGAAAATATAACCATTTTCTATACGCCAATCATAATATACCTTGATCGCCAATGAAATTAAATAGACTAACTTTTATTCAATATAGATTATAAGTTATTCTTGTTGAAAGTTACCGATAGGTAGCAGTGTCAAAGTTAGAGACTTTCCTCCTCTCCTCCTCACTACAACGCCCTATTTTGAAAATGAGCCACATTACCCTTAACCAATGAGCGTGTATGCGTAGATATATAGATGTAAAGGAGGCGAGCGAGGTATGCCAGGATCGTGCCAAATAGAAGTCCGTAGTCTCTGCCTACCTCTTGGGTGACAGACGTGAGTGTTTATAGATTTTACTATAGATATATAGATCTGAAACGGGAGGGCATAATATGTTCAGCAGTAGATTTTTTCGGCCGATGAAGATGAAGAAAATTAATGTTTGCACGCGCATAGTTCTTGCTACCGAGCCTAGGTTTCAATCGCTGGCGAAGCCAAAAATTAGAGTTGATTTCTGAGTTTGGTGAGTGAATTGTGTGAAGTGTAATTATCCTTATTTCTAAAAATGTAGCTTTGGAAACTGGGAACGAATGTGATCCTGTGTTATCCTTTACACTTGTAGCACAGTTGTCTGTGTGAAATATTTTAACAGTGTTCGGAATTTATCAGAGCGGCTGATTTGGCCAAGCGGCAAAAATTTATAATTATTTTCACAAAAATTAAAAGAAACGTGGTAGTGCTATGCTGTGGCTATATTATGGTTGTAGAATAAATGGGTTGACTCTCACAATACCAGCGTAAAATACCACTAGTACTCAATTGTGCTGTATTTCGTATGGTGAGTGTAGAAAAACGGAGACTTAGTCCGTCTTAGTGAGGGTTAACAACGCATTTGCTTTTTGATTCTCTCTCTATGGGCACATAGCAAGCTTTTACCATCAGGTGGATTGCGTGCTCGTTTGTTACCCTTATTCTATTAAAAAAAACCTTCTGATGTAAATTTTAGCCCAAGTTTTACTAAGCTACAAGTTTTCCAAGCAAACGAGTTTAAGTAAAATAATGTGCCGTGTTCGTGACAATCCTTGTGCTTCCGGAGGTACAAAAACGATCGGCATTATTTTGGCATCGGGCACTACGTCCGGGGTATAGGATATCAGATGGATTTAAACCGGATCGCTGTCGGCAGTTGAAATATATTTAAATTCGACAGTTCGATGTCTGACTCACGATACACATTATTTTCGTCCAATTTAGTGGGTATTTATCCCAGCAATTTAAATAAGTACGTGGGTGTTTTTGATAACTTACTTTGATTTAACTGTGTATAAATATATAAGTGTTAATTGATTACTGTCATCACCATCATCATTACATCCCATCACGAGTCCACTGCTGACAATAGGCCTCTACTAAGTAATGCCATAATGCACGGTGCTAAGCAACCTGTATCCATCGACTTCCTGCATCTTTTACCAGGTCGTTTATCCATCTAATGGAGTGCCGCCCTACATTTCCCTTACCGATGCGAGGCTGCCACTCAATATCCCAGGAAGAGGCTGCTACCGATTAGTAAATTCCAATCGATTGTAAGTCCTTCGAGCTATTCAGGCGGCCTGTTGCCACAAAATTTCATGCATTAATGCCTGCGAATCTCGTATTATTTTTCTACGTCTTTAATATAAATATTTGTGTAATTATGAAATCCCCATACAAATCTATGGCAATACGGGGCCTTTTCTGTTTTCTAAGACGTATGGGTTTTTAAACAAAATAATATAGGAAATTATTTTTTCGTTTATATTTCCTATTGTCCTTTTTAAATCCACTGCTAGATTTAAGTCTCTCGCATTATATTGTAGCTAATGCTTAATCCCTGTTAGTAATACCTGTTGGTATGTAACGATGAGGTCCTAGATGATAATCGTACTGATTAGGGTAACAGATTCTAATCGGACGGAAAGACAAAAAGGCAAATTACTGAACTCATTTTTGTTACACGCATTACAAAAGACGTAATTCTAAGTAACTTACCGATATCAATACAAAAGGCGACTGATCCAGTTTCATAGCCTCCAGTTGTCTGAAAGTGGGTTCGAGGGTGACCCGCAGTGGTGACTTAAGAGAGGCTTCCACCAACGCTGCGAGGAGTTGGCGCGATGTGGGTTCCACTCCCAAGCCAGAGCTGAATGCAGCCAGGGCCTCGCCATGTCGTCCAAGACATTGTAGAGCCACACCTGTATTAAATTGAAAAGTAATAATTAAGGATATGTCTCTATTTCTGTTGTCATTGTTTACCCTTAGTCCCAGTGGATCGACATGCTATTGATTACGATTCGTCATCATCACACATCACATCACAGCCCTTCACAAGTCCACTGCTGAACATAGGCCTCCCCTAAGGACGTTTGTATGTCATAAAGCACGGTCCTGAGCCACCTGCATCCGTAGACTTCCTGCATTTCTTACTAAATGGGGTGACGATCTGTCACTCCATCTAGTGGAGGATCGCCCTTGTAGGCTTGAGACATGGTCCTTCACTGCTGACCGTATGAGGACGCTCAAGGTTGCTCAGCAAGCTATGGAGAGGACTATGTTCGGGGTTTCTTTGCATGGTTAACTTAGAAATGAGGATATCCGCAGCAGAACCATAACCGATACAGCCCAACGGATTACTAAGCTGAAGTGGCAACGGGCCGGCCTTATACCTCGAAGAAGCGACAACCGATGGGGAAAAAAGGGTCGCGAGTGGCAGCCTCGTACCTGTAGGCGAAGTGTGGGGCGATCCCTCCACTAGATTACGATTTAATACCTTCCAATCCTAACCATATTAATAGAAAATTAAAACCATTGCTACTTACGACTAAGATTACTTACTTACGAACAAATATCATCAAACAAATATATAAAATAAACCAGTAGTTTATCTGTAGTTTTAGTATGCGAACCTTCCCCGTGCAGTGGGGGCGTAAGAATATCCACTACCCCATATCACCCCGGGGGTTGTCGTAAGAGGCGACAGAGGGAAACAAATCTGGAGATGGGCTGCAGCGTCTTCTTAATAACGACTAAAAATAAAACTGCAGTTGCCAACCCGCTTGCCAAGCGTGGCAACTGTGACGAAAATCTCCCCTATGAGGGACTTTAATAGGCTACAACGGTCTTTTATTTTTTATGAAAAATTTAATTTCTGTTCCACATTTCAATATATATCTTAATTATTTTTAATAAGACCGCAAATTGCGTAGCATTCGAACCTTGACAAACCCATGCCTAAGTGGTCACAGAACAGCATTCCATAATTGGGAAAATTCAATAATTGGAGTTCGGTGCATGGAATAAGATAATATTATGTACATACATTGCAAAAATACTTTTTAAATAATTGGGTACATTATGTAAAGGGAAATGACATCATTATTTTGTATCGATAGTACGACACACGAATTCATTTACCACTTGTGTGAAATTTATCGAAATGAAAGTTTTTAAGAGTTGGAACCACTTAAAAGGCAATAACGATAGCATGTAAAAATAAGTGCACATGAACATGATATTATATAGTGGGACGTACTCATTATTGCCGGAATAATACATCGAAGTCAATAGTAAAAGCTAAAAGTACATTTATGGCTTTCAACCAAGATGAATCTTCATCTAACTAGGAGTCTGTCTGGGTTGAGTCTGTTACCTATTTCTGACGTCAAGCAGCACTATATCCATTATTGTGTTCGAGATTAAATGAACACGGAGCATGTGTAGCAGTTTGTAAAACAATTTCATCTTAGTACTCAGAGGAGATAATGTATGGCCTATGTTCAAAGTTGGTTGCGTGTTCAAACTAAGTAATTGGGCGTAAGCCACTCGTTAAACCAGATGTTTAAAAAGCATAACAATAGTTCCCTATAGTATTCTCATTTCATTTTATACATGTTATATTTCATGTTAATACCTAGCAGTAATGTTACATAACTTTAGTTAAGACGACGACGACGAATTGAGCACGCAATAAGGAAAGTGAAAGGATGATGGTTGTAGACATTTACATTAGAAATACGGAAAATTCATTACGCTAGAATGATCGCATGCTACATTTGCATAAATACCTCTGAATGCGATTCATTATTAAAATTGATTATTTAACTTTTTCATCCATTAATTGCAGCCAATCGCAAGTCGACTGTTGAATATAAGTCTCAAAGTGATTTCAAGAACAATGGTGGTATAGGCAAGACTCAGCTCCTTCCCATTTAAAATTACATTAGTATCAACATTTTTAGTAATTTTGTACTTTCGCGGTCCCCTCGTTTTTTGGCTCTAGAAAATCGAAAAATCATCCGATTTTTTTAATCTTCGTTTTTATGGCGGATTTTTGGAAATGGAAATACACAGAAGTTTTAATATAGTTTTATGACTTTAAACAAGATCATAAACGCTATTCTTCGAATATAATCGTTCATAACTATTTTGCAAAGCATTAAAAGAAGTTCATATATTTTTTGCTAATCTACAAGTAAAACGAACATTTAAAAAACATTGAAAAATGTTTGTTTAATTTTTTATTTCGGTGTTTTATTGAGTGTAAGTTCAAGCGAAGCGAGCTCGGGACTTAGGGTATCCCAACTCAGACAGGTTAGGTTAGAAGGACCACCATCTCCTTCGTGATAATTTTTTTATAAACCACTCAGAAGTAGGAGCCCCGCTAAGCGGGGCTCCGTCGACCGTGCTTCCCTCGACTGCGCCAGCAATAGAAGCTTATGACTGGGTAGCCAAGTCCTTGGCTGAGTTAATATATAAATAATAAGATAACACATTTGCTATCTGCCTTAAGTGATATTTGGATAGGTCATATCCATCTGTGGTCAAAAATGTCTTAATTAAATTATTTATGTATATTAAATTAATTCTATTATTATGATTGTTGACTGCAACCAACATCATACAAAGAAGGCTACAGATGGAATCACTTCTGTGGACTAAGATCGAATGACTCACAGCGTGTTATATATATTAGCTTGTTATTGTTATATATATTATATTATTATATAATATTAGCTTTCATATATCCTTTAGACGGAAACTCAACAGTCTCTCATTTTCTGCCTGAGACCTATCCAGACAAAATCCTAGATAGAAAAATAGTCTTTAGTAAGTTAACCTAGCATTTTGTTAGTTGCAATTTGAGCCCCAATTTATCACTTGATTGGCGTTACGACCGGGACAATTTTAAGCTTTCGCTTTTTGACTTAACTACCTATAATAATACGAAGAACTCATTGACGTTTGAAATTACTGGTTTGGTTCAAAACATGTGAGTAAATTCTTTTTATTCATATTGTTCATAATTATTGCTGAAAGGCGACAGAGGAAAATAAAATGAAAATGATAAAAAACTGCGGTTGTCTGCCTGCCAAACGCGACAACTATGGCAACATTCCTCCTGTGCGGATAGGTCAGCATTGGACATTTAATAGGCTCAATAAATGAATTCATATTATTTTGTGATATATTAGGTATTAAAAAAATACACAAATACGAAAACGACAGTAGCAGTAGTAGCAGGGTGCGGAACGCGAACGGTCGTGGATTCTAATCCGGCATTCGACTACTATCGTGAACCATTCCTAGTGCAAGCATTTTTAAGCTTACCATCAGTGGAAAAAGGAAAAATAAGTAATGTTTAATAGCATTGCTAATATATATATAAAAAAATTAAGAGGCCTATTAATGACCAATGAAATGAGCCGTAGTAGCTCAGATGATTAACGCTCGCTGTAAATATAACAGAACGCGAGTAACCCGGGTTCGAACCCCGCCGGCACCAATGAAATTGTTAATTGCAATTTTAAGTGCTAAACCTAATTTTAAACTAATTTTAAACATCGTGAGGAAACCTGCATGTCTGAGGAATAAGAAAAAAAATATTTCGAAGACATGTGAAGTTCGCCAACACGCATTGGGGCAGCGCGGCGGACACTTCCTTGCCCTAAAACCCCCTCAGAAATGAGGGGAGGCCTGTGCCCAGCAGTGGGACGTATATAGGCTGTAACTTTACTTTACTTTACTATAATGACCAAATTATACTGTACCCTGTCTGTAGTAAGCCTTTGGCCAATTCGGACAAAGCTCCCGCGCTCGAGTTGCATCTTGGAGGGCTGCTGCGAATTGTCCTTGCTTTAATCTGGCTGCAGATCTGTACAAGAATGGAAAACAATCGATTAGTTAATCGCAATATTTATAATAAGCAATACAAAATATATGGATTAAGCATTAGAATGGATGCAGAGGGCAAGACCGCCATTATCATCATCTTCATTATCAGCCTGCGGCGGTCCACTGTTGAACGTAGGCACCTCCCAAGGCACGCCACTTAGCCCGGTCTTCGGACAGGAACATGCTTTGTGTCATTCCTTGAGGGATGCCTGTATTCGATATTGATCTTGTGAAGAGCTGTAAAGAGGATGATAGTGATGATGAATTTTTATATACAATCGCTGGCGCATTTGTCAGCACTGGCAAAATTTCTGAACGACTTAGCTGATTGAGGCCATCTTCACTCTTTAAGTTTATTCTGGCGAGAAGACGGTTCACAGCTACGTTATCATATAGCTATATCATCCAGGTCCTTAAAGTCAAGTTATCTCAATTGTTATATTTATTGCTAAAAATGGATCTTATTTACAATATATTATGTTGTTTGAGTGCTAAAAAAGCAAACCATACAAGTGCCGTTTTTAATAAGTGTGAGTTTTTAATAAATGTTTAATTTAACATTTATTAAAAACTCAACTTGTAAAAAGCTGTGAAAACTTGGAATTGATTTCTGATTAAATATAATAGACCAATGCGAAAAGGGAAGCTGATCGTTCTACTGGGATAGCTGTTATCGTTATAAGGCAACACTTTCAGGTTGAGAGTAGTTAAAAATGGTAATATTCCGTCTGTTATTAAAAGCAGTTGTTAAAATCTTTTCTTTTTCTCATTCACTAGTTGAAATAGTTTCAAGTTAAGCGGCAGTGCGCTTTAATATCTACAGCTATATTCTTATTTTCATAAGGTGACATAGTATTCAAGCCTATAAATTCACACTATACATTAAATGTTGCTGCAATTAAATTCGTAATAGAGTTTTGATGCAATATTGACCTTTTAAAATCAAAGATATGAAGTTATCATATCTTTGAGTAATAGCTCTCTGATATGCATTACTCGTATTGCTTTTATTTAGACTACACAATTCATTCAATACTACAAATTACATAAAAATTATGCGAAGTTTTGATAACAGAAACGCACCCCTATATGTATTACGCTAAGAGCGTCGTTGGCAGTGACAACGTAAGAATATATACTACCACTTATCCCGTGAGTGCCGTAGGAATCAGACAGAGGAAAATGAAACAGGGCAACAGCACATCCTCCTAATAACACGCCTGCCAATGCCGCTATGCCATCCCCTCTACGAGAAAGGCCTATGTGCAGCAGAGAACTTTTGATACTTTGTAATGTAATGATGAGTTGAATAAACTCGAAGCTAATAAATGCACAGAAAAGGGTAATAAGTCACTGAAATATTGATACAACAAATCGTCGGGTATAAATAAATGAAAAATGATATTTGCTGGTCGTTCTCTCCATCCAATTATATATATATATATATATATATATATATTAAATACAAGAGTGAATAGACTTTTCTTACAAGACAGTACGATTTACCGCCCACACTTCCCAGTCCCTCATTTCATATTTTATACACTTAATGGGTACAAAATATAAAATGTAATTACTTAATGTGTGTGTAATTACTTAATTTTCTTTTGTATGTTCTCAACGTACGATTGTTTTAACTATTTCATAGGGAAAATTCTACTTTCATTCCTTGGCTTTTTGTGGAAGCTTTGCATACGAGTACATAGCTTTCTATAAATAGCATGATTGGACGTTCGACATTTACAGAAAATATTTGACACAATATATAGACAATATTGTTTTCATTTTTTACCTGTTACTATATAAAATATGATTTGCAGGATCAAGAGTTAACGCGTCGGTGTACAAGGCGACAGCTGTAGTGAAATCACCAGCCTGGCATGCCGCGTTAGACGCGCGCACTTTCTCCACGAAGAGGGCTCTGGATGCTGCCCCTAGAGACGCTGAGCCGGTGGGCTCCACCTGTAAACAAAATAACCTTTTAATGTGTTTTTCCATAAGTATATACTAGATAGTGTTACAGATGTATATTGTACAATGCACCTCTTTAACATATTACATAATATATAGGAGTAAATTCGAAGTATAGTTCAATTACAAAACATTGTAGGTTCGATTCCGAAATTTAGCTACCGTTGTAAAGCAGGTATTGATATCTATATTATATCGTCGTATTAATTTCAAGTTTCGTAGAATTTTTTAAATAGAATGAGGGTGATAAAAGAGCAGAGAGTTCCAGTGGTGGTAGCTGTGGCCCATCTACTTCTAACCTCGAAATGTGAATGTGTTGTCATCTCTGAGGCCTAAAAGTAAAAGGGGTCTCCGGTTCTCCATACACACCATAGGAACAGTGGCATTAAACTGTTATTTTTCGTTAGTATTCTACTGTATGAGCGTGGAAGGACCACCAATCCTTGGCCCGACCACTCAATCGAGCTGACTCATTCGGGCGATTACCATTATACAGCTTCAGTGTTGCTCTACCACAAAAATAGCTGCACGTTGCTGGATGGTCCCGTAAAGTTTGGAGAAAATGTTCTATCCCAGAGGGTGGGTAAACACGGAATGAAGTTTTCATGGGACTATTTAAATGACATTTGAGCTTTTGATATTCTTTAGCGGGCTATATAATTATATTTTTAATGAAAATTTAAAGTAAATTTCAAAGAATATTATATATAATATAAAAGCTTTAGAAAATGACTTTTTAAGCTATTATGTGGAACTTATTTTATTCTTTTAGTTCTTTGAAGTCGGCTTTAACTTTTTATTAAAATTATTATTTAAAAATTTTGAGAGTAGTAAGAGGAAAGGTTCACAAAATCCACGTCCTCATCATCATTATTACAGCCCTTCACAAGTCCACTGCTGAACATAGGCCTCCCCCAAGGTATGCGGCAAAGCCGGTCACTCCTACTCCTACACGCCTACCTAGGCTGTCACTCGACAACCTTTTTTATCCAACGGTTGTCGGTTCTTCGAGCTATATGGCCGGCCCATTGCTACTTCAGCTTACTAATCCGTTGGGCTATGTCGGTCACTCTGGTTCTACTGTGGATATCATCATTTCTATGTTTATCACGCAGAGAAAGCTAACCGTAGACAAAGTTTGATTCCACCTAGTTTCTATTATAAAACCTATGAAAACTTTGATAAATATCAATTATGATTGTAAATAAATATATCACTAAATTACATAACTCTAGCTGAACTCTAGATGATGGTTCTCACATCTAAAAACTGTAGCATTTTTGATTCAGCACACTGCAATAGGCTATAAAACCGACGGCCTATAAAAGTTTTGATTTTAATTGGATCGAACATTTACGATCGTGTTGATTTAAAGTTTTATGATTTCATTGGACGATGTTTCTATTGAAACTTTGGCGGTAAATTAAAGCGAAGCAAGCAAGCTTGATAATACGGTGCCACTATGAACTACATTACCCTATACATAAAAATGAAAAAGAAATGTCTCTCTGTAATATTGAAATCTCTGACTTATATTAAGCTCTAGGGGTCATTTTTACGACATAGATAACAATTTTTAACATTATCTTTTGTCTGGCTGTTCAGACTAATCTTTGGAATTATAATTAAAATTTACGAAAAGATACGGGGCATTATCAGGGATCTAAGCTATATTTTATCCGAAAAATTTAAATATATTTATACAAAAATGATAAAATTAATATATAAAGATGACGTTTGAATATCATAAATTAGAGTAACGCCGCATTAATAGATACTTTCGATTAAAAATAATTCTTAAATAATTTATCTATTTGTTTGATTTCTATTTCAATTTGTCGTTTTAGTACTAGCATACAGTGCACCTGATAGAAAATGTTGTGTGCCATAGACTCGTGTATCTATTCTCAATAAGAATCAAAAGGTAGTAAATAGCCTCTAGTTTTCGTCTACTAATATACGATAGGTACGCAACACAGAAGCATTATGCTGCCATTTACGCTGGTATAATAAAGATGTAGCTTGACTCTATCGCGGAAGATTAATTACTAATAATATTTGAAAATATTAAATTAAAAATTTAAATGCTTATTCTAAAAATCCAAAGAGATTCATCACACATTCACAATTTAGAAGGATTTTTTAAGCACCGACTGATTGAATGACCGAAGCTTTGACTTTTTTGACAGTCTTCACATATTAAGGCGTCTATTGATTTCTCAGACATGCAATTTTCTTCGCAACATTTGATTTTAACGCTCAGTACTTCGATCAACAGTTGGTATTGTTGATCGAAGGCTCAGCACGTGAAAAATTAAAGCCTAAAATTTTAAACTAAGGTTGTCATTGGTACCGGCGGAAATCAAGTGAATTTTAAGAAATTTTCAACAATGTTGATAACGAAATGTGGCGTTTCTGAGATGAGGCTTATATTCAGTAGTGGATTTCGAAGGGCTGTAATGATTATAATGATGATGATGATGACAATGACGATTATCGTCAGAACGTAAACATTGCCCGAGTGGACACAGGCCTATACCATAGCAGGGAAGTCTTAGCCTAATCATCAAGGCCCATTTACGTGATGCTATTTTCTTGTACATTCAAGAGCAATTAAAGAATGCAATTAATTGTGCGCAACAATTGCTATTCAAGAATTGTAAGCTACTGTTTACACACGGATGGTTGAAAGCGATTGCGATTGCTTGACAAGAAATAATTCCTAGTGTCTTTTGTTTACGCCAATAGAATTATGTTTAGGAGATCTGTAATTGCTTTCAAGTTTAATGATTTTTCTAAACATAGCACTGTACGTGCTTGTGCCATTTTTTGACGTGTTGCTTCAAGTATTGCACGTATTTTTTATAATATATGGGTGGCAAACGAGTATACAGTCCACCTAATGGTAAGTGGTTACTGAGACCCATAGACATCTACATTTATGCTCAATAACGAATCAAATTGCAAATGCTTTGTCACCCAAGAGGACTAAGATGGAATGCCTCGTTTCCAGTAAAAAGGGTCTCCGGTTCTCTACACTCACCAAACGAAACACAGCAACGTTAAGCTGCTATTTGACGCTAGTATTTTGTGAGAGCGTGGTCATTCAACGGTCGAGCTGACCCATTCGGGCTACAACTATACCAGTAACATAGCTGCGGCATGGCTCTACGATGTATTTGCATTGACGAATTTTTGATTTCAGTGTTGAACGTTTTAGAAGAGAAATTTTTATTAAAAATTTAGTCAAAAAGTGTTAAAATTCGGTTCTGCTGATTTAACGAAGTTCATTGAGATTTATCAAAGTTATGCGTATTTAATGGGTACTGAAAATTTAAATTACAATAATCCTTATGCCTTTGTATAGAAGAACCAACTAACAAACAATAAAACTGGGTTTTGTTCACGAGAAAAATGTCCTTAAAATTATCTTCGTTTTCTGTTTGTAACTCTAAACAAAAAAATTTAGATTCTCCTAGAACCTCACTTCTTGCTGTGCATTTTTGATGCAAAGCCTTTTTTACGATGCTATCTCAATATTTCTTACCTCAGAAAAGCAGAAGAAAAACTCCCCTACACTCATGTTTGCAAATGAAGAGAAAATCCAATTGAATACAATTATTGCATAAAAATATAGTATGTGCTGTTTACCGCAAGAAAAGTATTGAATCAAAACTTGTCCAAGAGATCGAGAATGTTGCGTATTGTTTAGACCATGCCAGTCATTTACTGCTTCAATTTAATTGTTTGCAAAAAAGGCAAGAAACTTGCATAATGGTAATGTTCCATTACGCTCGGTAAGCAGATTAACGTATATGTGATAAATACAGAGTGAGATACCGATACAGTGTCAGGGACTTGGCAATAAATTTTATTTCGAAGAGCGTGCGCCAGAGCATGCCTTAATTTCTCTCTTGACTTAGCACCATAGGACAACCCGGCGGTAGGCGGGCCTTCAACCATTTGTCGTCGATATTCCACGCATTGTGACCATAATGCGTACAAAGAAGAAGTGAAATAATGCGCTTTCTTTCCGTCCAATTAAAATCTGAGCGTATCTGGACTGTTAGGAGTGAATAGTCTTTTGTTACGCTAAGACAGTGCGATCTACCATATAAAACTTCATCACCACTTACCACCAGGTGGCATTGTAATCAAGCACTCGCTAATAGAATACGTATACTACAACCATATACAACTATAAAACCAGACCAAATTTGCAGAGAAGGTTCAGTATAAGTAATATGCAGAAAAATGGTGAAGAAAAATTTAATTCATTCTATCCTCTTTGTCTTTTAAATTAAAATGCGAGGTAATGAATTATTTTAACTGATTTTACTACGCATGCACACATTCGTAGAGTACGCAAAAACGTTTTTGGCCAAAAATCACATTCGATTTGTGATAATTTCAAATTAAAATAGAAGCCTCATTTACTCGTATTTTCAAAAACTGCAACAACGGTATTATTTATATATTTGAACCTAAATTTTAAATTTGGCTACTCTTCTATATCTTTACAAACAATCGTAGATAACAAATTACGGAGTGGGCCCAGAACACGTACTCTCTACCCTGCTGCAGCATTGCTAGACAACGTTGGATTTTCCTCTCGTGAACATCAAACTATATTACTAGCGTATAGAACAGATACGCCGAACCAAAAGTTTGCTTTATTTTGGTAATAGTTAGAACTAAAGTTCACTGCAGCGCTAAAATAATAGTTCCGTCGTCTAACCAAATATTAAAACATGCAGCGCTAATTTGCATTAAGGATTAGTTTTCTTGCAACCAAAACGTCATAAGCGCCAGAAATTTCATGGCGCTTACGCATATCGTTCAACGTAGCTTACAACAAGTCGCTCCCATAGATTTTACATTTTTCCCGATTCTCGTGAGCAATGTAACAACGCGAAATTTTTTAAATCAAAGAGTTTTAAACGTTTCAATGTCTACTTACCGATGGAATGTTAAACCAGTATTTACTAGGG